ATTATGGCCCTAATCCTGTTTCGTAGAATTGCTAACAATAAAATATTTTCTGGCCTCATCACTGTTTCAACAGTTTGTATTATTCATTTTAAAATGTAGAATTACACTTGTTTCAAAAATGCAAATAAAACAAAAATAATCCTAACGTGAATACAAATAAACCATTTATTGTTTACCTTCGCACAAACCTTTTTTTTTTAAACGTTATTTTTAAAAAGTCCTTGCAGGATTCGCAGACTTGAAGAAGCCTGAACTCAACACATTCATGCCGGGCTCCGAGTCCGACAGCCTTCAAATCCTTCATTTTCGACCCCAAATATGGACCAGGAATGTCCAGGATGACGTCTCCTTGCGTCGGGAGGAGGGGTGGGGAGCTGGGTTTGTGACCACATTTATTTAACTACGCCTTCCCGGAGTCCTGGTAGGCATTACACAGGAAGAGTTGGAAAAAGAAACCCTCCCTCTCCTCCTCTTCCTCCTCCTCCTCCTCCTCCTCTCGGCGGATAACGGTGTCCAGAAGTTCTTCAGACAATAGCGGCAGGACTCCGTCCGCCCAGCGTCATAAATGTTGTCCTCGTTAGGTGTTAAAAGAGGAAACAGCCGGCTGTGATCGCACCATGGAGGATTTAGGTGAGTGATGATGTTTTTTTCATGACATCTTGAGGAGGTCTGTTGAAGGGGCGGTGAGTCCAAACAGAGGAAATATGGACTCTGTTGATTCTGGCTCTCAGAGGGCTGCTCTTTTTCTTCATAGAGACTTGTATTAGTTTTAAATTAAAGGAGATTTGTACACATGCAATGAGGGGAAACAAAGAAATCGTATGGTACCACATGGATATTTATTATGTTTCCATTTTCTCCAGAAAAGGGCCACACATGAACTGAACTTCTTTTCATGCACGCTCTGCAAATTCAATCAGCTCTTTGCAAATTTGATTTCAACAGATCCCGGCCCCTCCTCTCCATCCATCATTAACAAGTCCAGCTCAGCACCGACTCTCGTTGATGGGAGACATGTAAAGATGACTTGCTTTTGTTTTATCTTTAAAACCATTGGGAATCTGACTCTTTGTGTTTTAGGGCAGCTGTGTTCCAAAAGAGACTCTGAAATGGCCCAGAGCAATGCTGCTATTTGAGGCAAAAAAAAAAACACAGTTTAAGGAAAACTTTTCCCTCCACTGCCCTGGCCGTCGCCGTCTCCCACGTTTCAGAACTTCTCGTGCGAAACGAGGGAAGGATGGCAGGATTTGGCCCACCACAGCCGAGCACATCTGGATCCGATTTCAGGCAGTTGAGACGGTGTTACTTGGGTGACTGGTGTTTAGTCAGACCCTCAGTTTGTGCTCAACAGTGAGTTTTATGTGTTGAGGCTCTCGGTGAGGGAGACCACTTGTTAGAGAGGCCTTCGGCCAAGACAAACAAGTCAGGCAGGCAGCTCTAAATATGGTCACAATTCCCATTAAGAGAAGTTCAACTCCTTATATGTGCAGTTTGTGTGTGTGTGAGAGAGAGCGAGCAGGCAGGAGGGCATGTAGTGTAAATTCTCAACACATGGTCATAACAAATGTGTGAATCATTGAGGCAGAGGTGAAGCTGATGTGAGGCTGGTTTATGTTCAAGTCTGTTTAATAAACTGATTATTTCAGATAAAAACTACTTTCAGGTGTGGTTCAAACAATAACAGCTGGATAAAAAAAGAGCAGAAACAGTTTAATTAGGAAACAAGTAAAACATAAAAGTGATGCTCTAAAGTCAAACATGAGGGATAGAGGAAAAAAGAGTAGTGATGAGTGATGAATCTTCAGATCAATCTTTTAGCACCAGTTCTAATCTAATAGAGCTGTAGCTGTTTTGGTCAAACCTTGTAAATGACGCAACACTGACGGACCTTGTGTTATCTGTCGAGGACGACTCTTTCATACTGCCGCACCACATTTATCATTTATAGAATATCTGTGAAGTGGACTGAATTATAGCTATGTTTGTGTTTTGGAAGCAATCTTGAAATGAATTGGCTGCAGTAGCTAATCCCTTTTAGACGTGCATCAAATAATTTATTCCTCTGTCTTTACCTTCACCTTCAACAGCTCTCTCAGTCAGTGCACAGTCCCCAAACGCTTTAAGGTTTCTGTTATCATCCTGATACCTAATAAAATATCCTGCTTCAGTGATCACAGACCAATTGCTCTTACATCTGTTGTCAGAAGTCCTTTGAACGCATTGTACTCTCACACATGAAAGAAGTCACTTCCCCCATGATGGACAGTTACCAGTTTGCATACCGGACCAACAGATCTGTTGGAGATGCAGTTAACCTGGCTCTTCATAACATCCTGCAACAACTATGCCCTGGTACTGTTCATTGACTTTAATTCTAGGGCTGCTACGATTAACCGATTAATCGACAGCTAATCGATTATTAAAATAATCGATGACTAATTTAATAATCGATTAATCGTTTTGTTTTGTTCTTTACTT